TCACAGTCGCGTTGCTTTAATACGGGAACAAAATCGATCGTTCGCCCCCGCGACATTCACAGAAAGCACGCTTTTCGGGAGCTCAGACGTCTATTGCCTCGCGCTCGCTGATCGATCACCTTTACTTCTTGATCTTCTCCCGAATTAATCTGTTCTTCGGCGAGAAGAACCTCCAAGCGTGGTCTTAACGCGAGAAAAGTGCACTACGAGATTAGTCGAGTGACTTCGAGTCCCGACACCTGTCTTTCGATACGGATTGAGTGTTTTACACGATACGCGTTCGATGTTTCAGAGAAAGGAAAAAATACAGACTACGCGTCGATTTCTCTTCAGTTTCCACGCGTCTCTCTCGTGCCTGTTTTATATCGAGCGCCGGGATTGAAATTCAATTCGAGATGTTCTCGAAGCAACGGTTCCCACGCGAAGTTTTCGAGAGACCAGCAAAAGTAGCCCGCGCGCGTGACGACGACTTCGCCGAGCCGCGGCTAACGAGGGACCTTTCTCGACCCAAACATTTTACTTTTCTCGGGGCTATGTTTCTCAAGGAACTTCATCCTCCACAGCCCGAATTTCCCCCTGATCGATGCATAACATTCCCCCGTCCGAGGAAAATTATAGGTAATAAACGTGTGTGTAACAAAGGCAATCGTAGCGTTATCTCAACCACTCCTTTCCGATGTACGTACAACCAGCTTGCTTCGTTCGGGATCCAGGCTGCGTTCATTAATTACCACCCGCGATTTCTTGATTTTCCGATTCTAAAAAAATCGTCGGTCGAACGGCGGAAATTGCGGGAGGTCGATCCTAAAAAATGTGGCAAAAGACGTCGATGGTTCGCGATTTTATCAATGTTCGCCAGAGACTGCTTCGTTACGTCGAATAACTTCCGCTATAAAGGTGTTTAACCCCTCCGGCTGTCCGTATATTCGATGTTGGCGAACCGGAAGCGCGCGGGAACCTAAATGGCGGCCAATGTTCGCGGGACCGCGCCACGCTGCTCGAACGCGAGAATTCCATTTACAAACGGAAGCAAGACAGTCGACTAGAATTGTTCTAAATTCTAAGAGAATGTTTGCTGATCTCGTAAGTCAAAAGTCAAAAGTCAAAAGATAATACCAGAATCACATTTTACGGGTCAAAAAGCCTCTATAAATGTTTGGTTTATAATAAATATCCTATAAATGAAAGCTCTATGAATTTAGTTCGTACTTTTACGGATCCAAACTACTGTGAGGCACAGCCTTCCCGATCGCGCCTCGTTTCTCGAGGAAGTCGCCGCGCGTATCGGTTTATCGATCGGACCGATTCTCCTGGAAGTTGCTCGCCGCGTAGTCAACTGACGTGAAAATACTACGACGGAGGAGTGCCGCGAGAAACAAGAACCAGGAGGGCGGTCGTTAATCGTTCCGCGAACCTGCATCCTCGCAGTCTGTCGCGCGTCTAGATTTATTCCGTTTGACCGTGTTTGCACGGTCGAGCAGACCGTGTCAATAAACTCTCAGTTCCCCAGCATCCGACATCGTTGCTGCTGCACTGTTTCCCGGTCGGGTCGCCTGATCGAGCAGAATCTCGAGAGGCAGCGTAAGCGACGATTCCTCCAGTCCCAATGACGAGAGTACACTTGTCCTCCGCGATGAAACTTTGCCTGGGATGATGCTCTTCCCTCTTCCTCGAGTCGAGCCCCTTCGAGGTCTGAACTCTTCTACGGTAGCGAACGACACAACATATAAACTCAACCAATTTATATGTCGATCTGCCAAGTTTCGCAATTTCCAGTACAAGTTGTGGAGACACGTAAATGCTCGTTTTGAGGAAGCAACGAGCGTATCGACTCGCAATAACGCAATCGAATAACAACTTTGCATCACCTGTAATAACGAACATTTCTAGACGAGACACTAAATAACTCCCAATCGATTTTCGAGGTACGTTTGCAGCTGCTTCTGCAGCTCAATTCAAATGAGTTCATTTCTCATTCTCATGTTCAAATGAGCGTGAACGAGGATAATAAGGTTGAGAGACTGAAACTCGTTCGTTCGTTCGTTCGTTCGTCGCGCCGTTCTTCGGACGAGTCCGGTTATTTAACGGGCGCGCTAAGTCGAGCGACCTCGTTGCGGCCGGATTACGTTATGTCGGTGTTTTGCTAGCGTAATATGGGGACAAATGGCAGCACGCGAAAGAAATGCCGATCGTCCGAGCGGAGTTTATTGACACGTTGCGGTTTAAGGTGGACAGCGCAGGGATAAATCGGCTCCGCGGCCGCGACCAGATGCAACGAGCCGCACGAGTCGCGTTTCGCGTTTCGTGTCACCGCAAAACCAGCCGCGTGCCTCAAATCTTGAATCTTGAATATCGCCTCAGTGGTACTCACCTGCTAACAAACGGTTTAATTATCCACCTTCTAATCTGTCCTTGAAACGACCTTTAATTTTCTCTTTAGTTGTTCATTGGGCCTTAATATACCTTGAATAATATTTATTTCAAATTTTCAACGATTTCGTAATACCTACCTTGTAACTTTTACTACATATTCGATAACTATCCTAATACTTATAAGTAGACTGCGGAAGTTTATGCAAATTGACAATTTCAGACACGAATATCTAAGAATTAAAATGGAACAGAATGTAAAATCTTGTACTAGAGGCTTTACTATGTTAATAATAATACACAGATAGTATTAAACTTCATTAAATTCATTACCTTATTTCAATTTCCAAGTTAAGTTGATGTTACTTCGAAGTGAGCGTCACTGGCTCGAAACTCACGCAGTGTAAAATCCCAGCGCGTTATCAAATCGACCAAGAAACACGCGCGTGCTCCAAGATTTTCAAAGGAGCGTGACTAATTCTCGCCGGGAAAGCCGATCGCGAGTTAAACGCTGTTACGCGGTGGACTTGAAATCGCGACGCATATTGCTTCGTTAACCGCATCGCGACTGTACCGATTCGAATATTCGTAAACACATGACCTCTCATTTTGTTCAAACGACGATATTATGACATTTCGTTACGAGTTATACCATAGTTTCCCAATTTTGTTTGATTCACCACCACCTTTCAAAGTTTTCTTTTGGTTCAATACCCCGTTCGCGTAAACTATTTCTATATTATCTTCTATGAAATCTTTGAATCTTCAAAATTGAAATTGAAATTGAAATTGAAAAAAATAAAATCACTAGAATGTCCCCTTGGGTCTCCTCAGTGCCCACCGGCAGTAAGCACTTTGGGAACCTATGGGTTATATCATCAAGAATGAATGCTCATCCTTAAGAAATGTTCGAACAAATATTACATCGATCGTACACTCCAGGAGATCGTAATTTCGCCAACGATTCTAAATATAACCGTGCAGGCTCAATATTAACCGCGAGTCACGAAGAGTAACGCAGATTAACCGCGGTTAATGTTCTCTCCAAGGACCGGTTTTTTGTTGTATCGCTGATCGTAATTGCCATAAGTAAATGACAATTTAATCATCCGTACGTGCATCTGATCCGATTAATTGCACATCGCGACGAGACCGTACAAGTTTCCCCAGACTGTTTCCAGTGTTCCACCGAAAATTCTGTCCAGCTTGAATTACGCGCGCGTGACAGGTAGATCGTGTGTGTAATCGAGGAGCACCTTGTGCCCGCAATTACTCGGCTCGCTTTCACCGACAGCCGACAGATCGAAGATTAAGTTATCCGTTCGTTCCGTTCCCAAAGAAACTCCAATTTCGCGTGTCACGGTCCTCGTGTTACGAGCGATAATTAATATCCGTCCCGGAATCCGCTCCTGGACTCTTCTTCTCTCCTCCGTAATTGCGATTACGGCTAGATAAGCATCACAGTCGTGCAATCGTACGCCTCCGTTTTCGCGTTCGAGAGTGGCAATTGAAACCGCATTACGGCTTTGAAATTGGAACAAAGCGATCGAAGAAGATCATACCTATCCAAATGGAAAAGTTGTTGAACAGCATAGATCGCCCGAGAGTCGCAAAATGAATGAGAGTAAAATTGAAGACTGACGTCTCGAATGTTTTTTGTCATTTCCTCAACACGCTAATCTGTACCTTGCTACTGAGCACAAGATTGCTGGTCTTCGAGAAGCAACGATGGCAACCTTGTGGTGGAGCAAAACAGGGCGATTCGTAGCTTTGACAGGGGTTCAAGTCAGTGACTATTCATGCACACTGTTGGATGCAGGCAGTAGTCAAAGACAGTGATACAGGTGGCAATAAACCCTCCATGACCCTCTGGGTCTTTTATGGCGCAAGCGAAATTTCGCGCTCAAATATCTCCAAAACGAAGAGATTGTTATTAAAGACAAAACCTTTTAACATTCAACTTGAAAAACTATTGGATCGTGTAGTAGAGACCGTCGAAAGTATGCTAGAATTTTTTCAGATTTTTTTGAAAGCTATAAGATAAATATATTAAGCTATAAGATAATAATTGAGGTCTTTTACAACGAGGGTGAAATAGGGAAAATTTGATTTATTCACGTGTAGAGCTCGAACCTCATCCGACTTTATTTCTTCTTCTGCTCAATCCTCGCCCGATTCGTTCTGCCTTTTTTCGTATTCACGTCAAAACCTCGAAGTGCCCGTTACAAAACGGCGTCGTTACTTGTCTGGTATCGTGCTCTACCACCGTGACGGGAGCCTCGTGGAACGACCCCGGAAAAAGCCGTATCTTATCGGCAAGGTATGCGCGCGAAAAACTTCTCCAAAAGAGTGTAAAATCGTGTACCACCGGTTACGCGGCGTTTTGCTCGCTCGTTATAAAGCCGCGAATAAAATTATTTTCCAGTTCGTATATTACATTTACATGTAACTACCAAGAATACGGCAGTAGCTAAAGATGGGTCAGAATGACCTTATATTCCCTGTACGAGAATTAATATGCAAACTATGGGACACAGACGACGCAAGTTAAAGTTTGTCTCTATTATTTTGTAATTAACTGTCCTCCTTGTCTATGAGCGTCCAATGAATAATAAAAACTGTTGTTGCAGCTGCACCGTGGTGTTGTTCAACCCTCGAAAAAACACCCAGGCCCACGTGTTGAACGCTTGTCGCAAAACGGTCACCTCCCTGGCGCTCGCCGGCGACGGTAGACTGCTGGCGACCGGTGAATGCGGTCACATGCCGAATGTTCGTGTCTGGGACATCTCCGATCCGTACAATGCGGTTCAGATCGCCGAGTTCTCCGGGCACAAGTACGGCATCAATTGTGTGGTAAGTATGAACGACGAACCTTTCCTTCCCAACAACGTTTCGATTGATTATTCACGGAATGATTACTCGTAAATTCGTTGTGCTCGCGTGAGAAAAATGGAGAAAAGCGACAGAGCCCGGAAAAAGCTTTGGATCCACAAGATCGGATGAGCCTCTGGCCGCGTTTTACTCCGGAACGAAATATTTTCTACTTTGTGGCATTTAGCAGCTTTCAATTAGTCGAGGCGCGGGAAATTGACAGAAACGGTTTTCGTGTCAAAAGATAGGCTCACGTGGAAAAGCAAGTAGGTCGAGATTTTGATTTACAATTGCGTACGTCGCGTCGCTTCGGTTGCGTAGTTTCTACCCGGGACTCGCTCGCTTTTCACCTCGTTCTTCTCTCCGAGAAGTTTATCCGAGTTTGGATATTCGCTCATTAATTACAATTAAAAGGTTTCGACAAAATTAACATGGCGTCAGTTTTAATATGCGTACACAGTATTCGGTATCACTTACATGTATGTATATTCGCGTCGTTGGGTTCACGTAACGCGATTATAGAGAACATTGGAAACAACTTTACTTGCTCCTGTATTTCGACGAAAACAAAGGACATTCATAAGGGAACAGGAGGGAAAGGTAGTTCCATGATGCAACGAGGATACCGAAGCCATTTAACAGAGAGCAAGAAAACACAATGGAGGATTATTGTATTTACTATCAAAGTCATTTAGACAATAACCGTGTCTCCCTTCGTGACAGCTAGCTAATACTCGCGTCTTACAGTAGAAACAGAAACCAGCTCGGATGATGGTAATAGGTGTACATATAATATCGGTAGGTAGTCGAAGACGGTTGTAGAAATTGCGAACTCATTTGAAATCAAGAATTCGAGTCAACTCCAAGGCATTGCCTTTCTTTCTCAAAACTTTCATAGAAGGTTCTACCATTATCTAGTCGCAGTATATTTCACCCCGTATCCGATATTCTTTCCTCGCGTTATTAACTACCCGATCAAAGATTAAAAGTTGCAGCTGGTGTCGACAGAATACCGCCACTAGCAATTTTTGTTCCATAAGAAGGTAATTTAATTTGAAGAGAGACTGCGCAACGTCGACCGTGACACTCGGCTACCTTGTTTCGCGTTCGGGTCCGCGCAACGCTGCTTCCTCGCGGAATTACTTCCTGCAAAAACGTCAGAAGCTTTCCAAGCCGCATTCCCCACGAACGAACGTACGAACGAGCCCGGGATGAATGTTCACGATGAAAAAAAAGGGCCGCGCCCAATGCGCTCGCATGACCGTGACGAGCTTACGACGGCTACACCGTTTCTCGCATGTTAATTAAGGTCCGCGGCTTTTATCTTTACGATACGCCAGCGACGACGTCGTTTCAAGTCGTTTCCGCGGTGGTGAAATTTCAACCGTAAGAAAAATACAGCAATTCCCTTGCCTAGTTCTGGCACGGAATTTATTTGTTCTCCAAAATTTTTTGTTCCCCGTTGAATATCACTTGTTTCGAGGAAAAGAAAATAATGTGAAAAGTTGCATTACTGTTTTCGATAGAGACTTCTTTCATTCGGTACAACTGTAGAAACAATTAGCCTTTTGTTTTAACGGTCTTTACACTTTTGTTTCGCAGAAATGATGCGTAAACCGTCTCTGAACTTCTGTTACTTACATAGTCACAACGCGTCGAGCTTCTTAACGTATTCTGCGTTACTACGTTCTACTTAACCTTTTATGCGTACCTTTTTGCATTACAATTTAATAAAATACGTATGACAAGGTATTTTTACAATTTTTTATTGCATAGTTTCTTTAAATTAGAACCAATTCTTGTATTTCAAATATTCGAATATTACGAATTCAAATAACACGATCAATTCCTGGGATTTATTACTCTCATTAATCGACATCTACCTGTGTCTGTAGTTGTCAAACCCTTTCTCTTCGATGTGATACGATATAAATATCAAAGTTTGAACTGCATGGAAACGACGTCTCACACACGCCAACGTAACGTCTATTTACAATTAACTCAACCTTCCTCGCCTACGCGGTCTCCTTTAGGTACGTAACTTTCGCACCCGGTCCAGCTGCTATGAAAATCTGATTCATAAACGGTAGGCGGGCAACAACGCCTCATTTGCGGCGTGCTTTTCTCGTTCCGTTTCCAGCGCGACAAACAATCCTTCGAATACATTCTGCTCTACTAACGAAAGCAAACCTCTCGAAGGTGATGCGATGCGATGCGATGCAATGCGTTCCGGCGTAGAATTAACGTTGGTATTCGCGTCACGGTTATCCACGTATACATATACCCGCGCCTCGGTTTACAAGGCGTCGACGACAGGCGGAACCGCGTGAATACGAAATAGCGTTCTTGCCGAACGCACAACGGTACCGCTTTTATTGTTCTCCAGCGTTCTCCCGATACACCTCGAGAGTGCGATGATCTTTCTCCGAAACACGGGCCACCGCTGCTGCGTTACGCCGAACCCTTCAACGAATTCCCGTCTTTATAACGACGCTATATCGAATCCACTAGTCAACTTCCCATCGATCGATACGATGCGTTTGTATTACGTAAACGCCCCATACACGATACGATTTGTCGTACAACTGATCTTACAACCTAGCTTTAACCATCTCAACGACAGTTGTAACGTTTGTGTCACGGTCGTACGACTTGTAGACAATACGGTAGGTTAAAAATCTGTCGTCCTAACCGTCTGCCCAATTCCCTGTGCAATTTCTCGTACGACAAATCTTATCGTCTATGAGAGAGCCTTTACTCTCGTCGCGTGTTACACCCGCTTTGGAAGATGCGTTTCCCGTTCCGGTGTTCGAGTTTCAAGGCGGTGTAACACGGTTTTATTGTACTTTGCGGAACGGTCTCGTATTCGTTGTACCTCGCCATTCGCGAGTGTACATATATGTATGTGCATGGTCCCTTTGATACAAGGGAATACCGTGTGTAGCCTGTGTTAGAGTATAGTAACACGCGACCAGAGAGAATACATACGGTAACGAGATAAATGACGGTTCTCTATAGATCTGTTTTTTTCTTTTTTTTTTCCGCTTTTCTCTTCCCAAGGCATTTTCACCGAGCAACAAGTACGTGGTGTCCGTGGGCTCTCAGCACGATATGATCGTCAACGTCTGGGACTGGAGGAACAATGTTAAGGTGGCGTCGAACAAAGTCTCGAGCAAAGTGAAGGCCGTCTGCTTCGCGGAAAACGGCAATTACTTTGTTACCGTTGGCAACAGACACGTCAAGTTTTGGTATCTCGAGTACTCGCGCAGCGCCAAGGTAATTCGATGTTAATGTCCTCTCGTTTCGTCTCTACGATCCAGCCGACCGGATCTCAATACTTACTCGCTTTCGTTCGACATACCAGGATCTAATTGTCGATTGTTTATTTACTTACGCATGACCCGTACTTCCGCCGCGTCGATCGCGTGCAAACGTGAGAAAAAACGGGAGGCTAAAAGACGTTGGAAAAGAGTTCATCGATGGAAGACCTTTGACGTAGGAAGTACGGGTCTATAAGTAATAAAGAACGACGATTAAGATAGCGGTATTAATACCTGGACGAACCAATTTGAGCCTTTGGGAACGAAACGGTTTTTCTTAACAAACTAACCATCCTTGCTCTCGACGACTGTACGGTTCGTGGCCCGGAAGGATAAGCAGATTCCAGAATTTATTAGCATAAACGTTTCTCCCAGTTCGTTGAAGAATCTTTTCCAATGAATCTCTGTGGAAATAGTAACGTTTCCTGGTGATACTGTTCGTATCGTAGAAACGAGCATAGCGATATTGGAATATAAAATGGTGGCGAGAGCAAGGGAGACGGAGGCACGTAACGGTAACGCCGAAGGTGGTGATAGAGGCAATTTTGTTGCACAGTATAAGGAACCTGTGCCTTTGATGGGTCGGTCTGCCATATTAGGAGAGCAGAGAAACAACGATTTCGTGGACGTAGCCTGCGGCCGCGGGGAAATGGCGGATTCCACGTACGCGATCACCAAAACCGGCCTCTTATGCGAATTTAATAACAGGAGGCTTCTGGACAAATGGGTGGAGCTGCGTGTAAGTACCCCTTCCTCCGAATAGGCATTCCCTTGTATGCTATATTCAGAGCTGTTCCGTAGCCAACAGCTAACAACTACTTCGTTACATGCATGACCGTTAAAACATTTTTCTTTCAACGGGATCTATGCTAGAATCTTTCGCAAACCCTAGCTATTGCTTCGAGGATAAGTATAGAAGAGATATTTCATCGGGTTGCATTAAAGAAAATATATTCCGTCGATATCGATTCCAAAGAACGTTTCTTTTTAGACGACCAGCGCCAATTGCATGGCTGTCGGGGACAAGTATATATTCATCGGCTGCGCGGAAGGAATCGTCAGGTGTTTTAGTCCTACCACACTGCAATTCATCACCACGTTACCGCGAACGCATTACCTAGGCGTGGATGTTGCCCAGGGTTTGTCCATCAGGTACGCGTGCATTCTCCGTCCAACGATTACGCAAATACTTTTGATTCGTGGATAGACTTTTCTAACGACGTACGATTGCAGTCACATGTCCCAGCACCCGCCGAACGCCAGGTACCCGGACGCGATCGCGCTGGCATTCGACGAACGGAACCACAAGCTGACGTGCGTCTACAACGACCACAGCATCTACGTGTGGGACGTGCGGGACATCAGGCGGGTCGGCAAATCGCACTCGTTCCTCTATCACTCGGCGTGCATCTGGGGCGTCGAGATGTACCCGACCGGTTCCGATTCCGTGGACGCGATGCCAGCCGGAAGCTTCATCACCTGTTCCAGTGACGACACCATCCGCGTCTGGAACCTCGAGAAGGACGTGTCGCCCAGTGACACGCTCTACAAACGTAACATCTACAGCAACGAGCTTCTCAAGGTCCTCTACATCGACCCCGAGCAGCTGACATACCTGAAAGACCTGGATCTAGCCGCGGCCGGCTCGACGGAGAAGAGCGACGCGTCGTACGACGGTCGAAACGGCGTCCGATCGATCCGAGTCAGCCCAGACGGCAAGCATCTGGCCTCCGGTGATCGGTCCGGTAACATCAGGATTCACGACCTCTCCTCGTTGGAGGAGCTCTGTCTCATAGAGGCCCACGACGCGGAGGTACTCTGTCTCGAGTACTCGAAATTCTCGCGATACTCCGCCGAGCCTCCCAGACTGTTGGCCAGCGCGTCCAGGGACCGATTGATCCACGTGTTCAGCGTCGACCAAGGGTACAACTTCTCGCAGACGCTCGACGATCACAGTTCTTCCATTACTGCCGTGAGATTTTTCAATCAGAGCAATCAGGGTAATCAGATACAGATGGTGTCCTGCGGCGCCGATAAGAGTATTATTTTTAGACAGCTGCAATCGGTGAGCATAACGGTCTTCGAATTTAGTACCAACGAACCTAAACCAAGTTTCACGGTTTAGTCGACGGCTTTGATCGTTTCAGACACCAGGAGGGATGCCTCAGTTCTCCAGGGGTCACAACGCTCAGGGAAAGACCACTCTGTACGACATGGAGGTCGATTCCGGGCAAAAGCACGTTTTAACTGCCTGCCAAGATAGAAACATAAGAGTTTATAACGTGACCACTGGCAAACATAGTAAAACGTTTAAAGGATCCGTCGGGGAAGATGGATCTCTCATTAAAGTCGTTCTAGGTAAGCTCCAGGTATAGTCCAGGTGTAATACATATAGTCGCTACGAAAGAGAGAATCCTCGTCGAATCTAACGATTCCTACTGTTTCAGACGCATCGGGAATTTACGTAGCTACCTCGTGTACAGATAAGACATTGTGCGTATACGATTACTACAGCGGGGAATGCATGGCCACTATGCTCGGCCACTCGGAATTGGTGACAGGGCTACGCTTTAGTCCAGACTGTCGAAACCTCGTATCCGCCAGCGGAGACGGATGCATATTCGTCTGGCGGGTTCCCCGTGACATGGTTGTAACCATGCAGGCCCGTCTCGCTCAGCAAGCAATGCGAGCTGGAAAGTAAGTGTATTCGATAGTAAAAATCAACGAGATTGGGCTTGGTATGTACAATGGATTTGGATAGACGAGTACGAAAATTACAATCTCTTCAGGTCCAACCTTGTCTCGACTTCCAATAATATCCCCACACGTAAAATACGTTGACGCACCAAAATATTTCAGAATAAACTAAGGCGTTAAAAATATTCTTGCAGAAGGCCGCCTCAAGTGAACGGTACGGGAATCGAAATACAGGTGGATAACGAAACTTTCGGATCGCCGCCGCCGGAATTTCTAGATCCAAACGCGAATCCCACGCCGCAGAACGTGGGCGTCGATTATAGGTTCAGCGTCGGTCAGCTGCCGCTTTGGGCGAAAAAACAAATAAACACCGCGAACACCGACGAAACTACGACCCTTGGCTCGAACGCCAGGTCCCTGGGCGTCGACCTGCCGAAGGGCAGATGGGCGCAAAGGGTGCAGCAAGGCGACGGTATAACTGTAAAGTCCGTCTACGACAGCGACGAGGTTATACCGTTCCCGCCGCCTCGTGGCGCGATCGATTCCGATGGCGGTGGCGGTGGCGGCGGTTCGAAAGACAGCTCGATAGACAGTGGAACCGAGACCAAATGTAGCAGTGACTATCGACGGGAAACTATCATCATCAAAAGGGTAGGTTTATTTTATTCACGAATACAGCCGAAGTAACAAGATCGTGTACTAATTCCTTCGACGTCGCATTATCGCAATTTGGACGATCGGGGCGATGTCGAGTCATCCAGGAAGTAATTCTTGTTACTTTCGAGATGACTCGACACTAACTAAATTAATATTAGTAACAACAATAATAATGTAATACTGCGATAAGTGTCCTATGAATAATTAATTACATTAAGCTAACCCACGATAACTCGTTCTAGGAAGAGGACGAGACTATATTTCAACCATGTCCAGATAGTTACAGAGAACTAGCAGATGAGTCGAAACAGGTACTAACCGATTCCCAGTAACAAAATAATCGTTCGTACCCCCCGTGAGTGTTATTTAGTGTGCGCTTGCGAACCAAGGGAAACGACAACGAGACAGGAGTTGCCGAGATCGCTCGTTGTTTGTCATTCATTTCGTTTCGAATCAGCTTTCGCACACTATATGCGTTCCTTTTGACATTTCCATTCTTGTTGTTCCTTTCGCACCGAATTTTCTGCTCGCAAGTGGTCTTTTTCTTTTGTTTTCGTTGATTCTATTTTATTTCAACCGATATGGCATAGGTGATCGGTGGTAACGTGACGGTAACTAGAGGTAGCAATATCACGGAATTGACACGTCAGTCGAGGAGTCGTCATCATACCGACGATAGCAGTCTTGGCAGCTTTAAATTTGAGGTACATCTCATTAACGCCTCAGACACCGACACCAAAGCATCGTCTAACAGTAATACACAAGCGAAACAAGAAACACGATTAATTAATATCGAATCTCCCGAACAATCGCGTGCACTCGTCGTCCATACGTGTTACATATATCGTTTTTCAATTATTTTTGTTTGCCGCTTACATTTTTGTCGCAACAGTTACATATACTTTTAACACTATTCTCGTTGAAACACTTTAATACGGCGTGGCGTGTAGGATCACGAGAGCACGGAGCACGACGGCGACGTCGAGGATTATTCCGAGGGGGAAAACGGGACGACTGGTTCCGAAAAGTCTCATCATAGATTGATGTATTATCCTGCCCCGGAGGACACGATATCGAATCAGTTCACCGTGAACGCGATGGATGTGGAAGAACTTAGAAGGTTCGTCTCGTTGATCGATTACTCGAATTTCACGTAATAATAGATATCTATAGGCGTAGTTGTTCAACGTTTACTTCGTAGATCTCAAAGGCGACAAAAGAAACCTAGAAACGGAGAGAGCGGTCGAACTAGCGAGTTGACCGCATCCGGCAGTCAGGACGATTCGGATTCCGAAGGTGGAGCTTCGACACCTAGCGCTGAAAGAAATCCCTTGTCCATATTATCGGAAGCCAGCTCGGAAGGTTTCGACCAGCTGGCAAAGCAGAGCCATCGCGAAAAGTATCTCAAGAACGCTTTCGAATCTCTCAGTGGGGCCGAAGAGCCCACCAATAGAAGTCCTAAAACAACTAGCATCAGTTCTCAGTTTCATGGAAGGTAATTACCAATCGTTTTAATTGTACCAAGGTTTCACTTCGTGTTGATCCTACGGTTCACGCACTTTTGTAGACTCAGTGGAGGCGGCGGCGTCGATCTGACTAGCAACAAGAAGGTTCGCAATCAGGCCGTTGTGAACGCAACGAAACAGGCGAGGGGAGATGCGGACGTCGTGAAGAAACGAGAGGAATTGCAGAGGAGAATAGAGGAAACCAGGAGAAAATTACAAAGCGTAAGTTTCGTACTCGCAACGATGATTTTGAGTCCCGAGCAGAGCATAAGTGTGCCTTGCATTCCAGGTCGGCTACAAGTCGTCGCTAAAAACCAGCCAAAGCATATCGGACTTGAGCAGCCATATACCGGAGAAGCATCATCGTTCGAACAGGCTGAGCACAGGTAACAACAAATCCGGTCAACGGACCCAATACTCGAAACCGATTAACCCTTGCAAACCAATACCGAACCCAAAGCCTCCGTTAAAACCTCAACTAATTAACAAAGTGTCGGGTGTGGGGAATGCGATACCTAAGCTAAACATTCCAATCTCCGACAACTGCTTGTCCAAAAGCCAGACTACGTCGTGTATAAGTGACAAGACGAGACCGTCGCTTAGTCGTCCGTTAACGTTGACCCTAAAAAAAACTGAAAAGTATAAGCTATCGCTGAATAAGCCGAATCAATCGTTACCCGAGTCGCCCGTGTGCGAGGAGCTCAAGCTCCTCAAGGAACAGTGCAAAAAGAACGTCAGTCGGTTCGCGAGATTCGCGCAGAAACGAAGATCCTGCAGTTACTTTATCGGCCTGAACGACAACGAGGAGGACATGGAGAATATAGCGAAATCGTTCGAAAGCTTGCCCGCGATGAACGAGCGGAACATCGAGACCCTGAACGACGCGTTGGACGACGGAGACGAGGGGAATGGAAACTTCAGCGACGACTCCTTGGAGGGAGACTTCAAGAATCCACCCCGACGATGCGTTAGCGACTATCAGATAAACTTTCACGTCGACAGTCAGCAGGACGGTCACAGAGCTTACTCGACGAGTTATCAAACTTTCCCGAAACGCGTGCTTACCGGCTCTCAGGAGAGCATACTGTCGGACGCTTCGGTCGAGTCGTTTTCAAAAGGAAGCGCCGAGATTCTCGATTACAGCCACTACGACAACGATCGACACTCGAGCGCGAGCTTCTTCCTTTCCCGTCGAAAAATGCAGGCCGGTCGAAGTCAGGAGAGCATTCTGACCGACGAGTCCGACTTACAGATGTTCCCGTTGCAGGAGAATATGGATCATCGAAGTACCGAAAGCGTGTTGACCGACGATTCCGACTCTCTCGTGAAATCCGCGCCCCTCGAGATGTTGTTCGACTCGCACTACAGACGAAAGAGACAGAATTCGGAAACGTACAGCGGCAATCCCAATAACGTCGTAGAGCCCTCGAACGATACTCAAAATGTCGCGAACGACGCGACGACTTGTCGGGCGGTGTTTAGGTCTAAATCTCTTCAGGACACGAGGATAAGCAAAGCAAAGAATGAGAACAATTATTCCGAAGAGAGCGCGCAGCCGGCAACCTGCATCTATTACGAATTCAATTTCAACGATCAAAACGACGCGAACGTCGAGATGCAAATAGGAACAAAATCGGACACGATGCCGAGAAGTAACAGCCTGAAGGTGCCAAAGGAGCCCCGCTCGATGCTGATTCTGAACGATTTCGTGGCTCACAAGCCACCGAAACCGAAACGAAACTCTGCTCGCACGCAGAGCATGCGAAACAGGGCTCGTCCCGCCTGGAACAAGTACAACGTGGACACACCTTCTCAGTCTTCCCGTGCAAAATCAGAATCCGATGACTACGGAAGCAAGTTACGCGCGGAGGATCGCCCGATACGAGACGACACTGACGGGAAGTCCGAAGCAGTGGAGAGTCTCGAGAATTCGAAGAGAATCGAGCAATTTCTACAATCGCCGGGTTATTCGTTACAGTTCAACGACGACACAGACTCGAAGACCAAGTTCTACAGCTTGCAGAATCGTCGCTCCTCCGACAAAAGCATGGCCTACGACGCCGGTGGTCCAATGGACAACTATGGTTTCGATCCAAACGAGTCGTCTCGTCGAGGCTGCGACATAGGAGGGGAGCAGAGGGACGGCTCCCATGTTTGCTGCTTCGAAAATCAGATCCCGACAAAGGACACGCAAGAGACGTACGACTCGTTGGAACCTGGCGGCGTGTCCTGCGACTTGCAGCCGGTCGGTGGAATGCAGACTGCCACAAATTTACAATCGACCGACGAACGAATCGATAATTTGGACGTGGATCTTAGAATTAGCAGAGCGATCGAGGGAACCGTAAAGTTGCTTTCCAGAGAGTTTGAGAACTTGGTCAGGAGGGAACAGTACATTATGAAAGAGAAATGCCTGAGGATGACGCATTGCCAGCAGGCGAGCGAAAATTTCGCTAAACTGGAAGCCGAGCGGGACAGTAGGTTCACGATGAAGCGCGACATAAGATTCCATTCGGGAGGAGAAGATAGCGATTGCGCGGACACGTCTGCAATGGATAAGTCCATGATGGAAAGCGGATCCTCGACGTCGGCATCGAGCTGCACCAATTCGCCAAAGAGGATGTGGCCGCCGGCCTCCAGATGTCATAGTCACATGAAATGGACCAAAACTTTGCCGACTATTAATCAAGTTATACTACCATCCAAGCATCTTTACGCAGGTATTAGAAGCTCGAAGAGTCTCGAACGGCATTGTCTTATATTTTGGTTTATCGTGTAGTGGTGTCTCGCATCTCGATGTCGGGAAACAGAGTATCACGACGTTTTTTTTTTTTTTTTTTTCGCTGCTTGATCTTCGACCATGAGAGTCTTGCAACGGGAAGTCTTCTCGTACGAAACATTCTCAGATAGTCGAACGCGGCGTATAGGTTTGTCGGTAGTACGTCCATATCGCGCACTGAAATCACTCGGCTAGCGCTCTATAGTATTAATACTATTTTCATGATTTTGTTACACGAAAACTAGTTACGATGCCAGTCTGAAACGGTGAAAATTTCAAACTTTCTATCGTAAAATCTGTGAAGTATAACATTTTATTAGAGCGTTTAAATACCGCTGGATCTATAAATACTCCTAGACTGTCTGAGTTTGTGATTATACGATTCGGATAACGTGTCCCGGTACAACACTTTTAAAGCACGACTCACGAGATAACAAGTATTTTCGTTTATATTTATTATCGTATCTTCAATGTGAATGCGTTACCATGTATCATCTTCATGGATGTTAGGGATCATTGTATGTATATATATTTATTACCGTTTATTTAAGACGTTATTAGTTGATCATTTTATTTCGAGACGGCAGCGATCATGTACTTTTCAGTTTGAATGCTTGTATTCATAAAGATGGGTATATATATATATATACCGCTTTATGAATACTCAGTTATTTTTCTTTTAGCATGACGCGCGATCGACGCAGCATGTTTTGTCCTTAACGATGTAGTTTATTCCTGCTTCCTTCTGCTTCCTGGTTTCATCCGCCCTTTTGCATTCCACTTTGTTAACGAAATCTATGGTCGAAGTTGATCAGACTCATTTACTCGAGGATATACGCGGAATTTGTTGAACAATTAGCATAGTCGAAGGTGTACATTGCGTTTTAAATACCGTAAAGAAAGTCTGATCAACTTGGCCTTGATTTCATATATACAACTTTCAAGCACTTGATCTACATATTAATCGTTTTTAATTGTTTACAAGAACGCTACAGTTAGCGATGACTCGACTGTCTTGATAAATCACGAAATCATATAAGAAAGCGTGTCTGAACTTAAAACCGCTCAACATCGCTAACTTTCGTGTAGAGCTGTCCAAAATCTATTTATCAACTAAAGAAATGAAATATGCGATAATTTTTTATTTCATCCATATTGCTTTGTGGCAATACGCACGAAAGACAACAGAGCCCACACTTTACTTTTGCGCTATTCGAAATCTGCCAACTTATAGCTCACGATTCATACCAACACAGTCGAGACAAATATTCATACCAGACATACAGTACAATTGAATTTTATTTGTTTTTAATCCTGTTATCTAAAATTTAACGGTCATGCCATCAACGAAAAAAAAGAACGGCCAGACCGAGGTAAGTTACTAAGAAAGAAAAGACACGGATATCGTGAAACAAAAAATTAACCCAAAATATGAGAAAACAATATGTAGCATAGTGCATGTGTGTGCGTGTTGTTGTCGACAGTTGCCAGTAGTGGGGGGCGAATCTCGTCAAAAGTTTTTGACAGCGAAGAAGAGGGGGGTGGCATGCGACGTGCCTGCTCGCTGAGTGATCTTTCCGTCAGCCCGCCAAATAGGTTACTGCATGGCCCGATACAAGGTACCCTTTAATTGTGTACCACGATTCACAGGGTCTTTCCAATACCAAACATCGTTTGCTAACTTTTCCATCTCGCATAGAAAAGTTTTACAAGTGTATAGTGTGCAATGAACACCGAAAGTCGCGTTAATGTACATTTTGGAACGGCCCTCGCCGAGCGTAATATGTCTAATCGATTTTAAAAAGTATCCAATAATCATTCGGTGTTTCATCATCTTCTTTTTCACATGTATTGCAAGCATCGTTTAGTATTTTCAATGCATCGAATATTATGTGTAACGGAACACTTTTCTTAGAAATCCATTCAATCGAAATTTCATCTTTTAATTGGCATTCATGAATTACCCGGAATTTTCGCTAACGATCACTCATAGTTTCAGGAAAAGTAGGTAATAAGAACGCAAACGCTACGGCGCGAAGCGGGCTAGGAAACACGAACAGCGGAAATCAGTCTCGGCACGGTTCGACGAAGAATCATTCTTCTCATATAACCAGGAGCAGTAGCGTCGGTGTTTTGAATCAGGTACGAGTCCTTTGCCAGTCGTTTTTTCTTACACGACACGGTCGAGAATCGAGAGTTTACTGAGTCTGTGATCGACGGTTTTGCAGAGCGATTCCGAGTCGGACGTTGGAGCTGGAACCGGAAGGGGATGGAACAACCAAATTGCGAATAACAGGATCAGCGGTTTGATGAGACCGACGATCAGTTCGCAGAATAAAATCAATCATCAGATAAAGACCGGCTCCTCTTCTAACAGCAATTTACCGTCGGTTCTCAGGAGAAGAGGCATGCAGGGAGCGTATTCGAGTGGTGAGTCCTCGCATTAAGGTGACCGTATTTCATTCTATTCATTCTTCCTTCGATCCTTTTCAGTAAATCTAAGTCAAGTGGGTAACCAAGAAGATTCGAGTTCGGAAGATACATCCTCGAATGGGAACGGAGGAAAGCCGGCTCTTCCTCCGAGACCTCGAAGCATCAGTATCGATCATTCTGGTACAAAGTAAGTTACGAAATTTTGATTATATTTCCGAGTGATTTTCTTTTAATAATTGCGACGAAATTTATTACACTACACTCGTGAATTTCCAGTCTAAGTTTACCTACTACGACGGTGAGGAGATCAGGATCAACGACTGTAATCGCTAACGGCCGTAACGGAAGTAACTCGATAGGACAGAGCACGAATAGGCTATCGACGGCCAATCGGAGTCAACTGGATCCCAGCCCACAAGAGCTACCAGTCAAAGATACTGATCGTGCCATCGATGTAGCCAGTGCCGAATGTAACTATCCTTTTCATTCTTTACTATTCCATTTGTTTTATTTATTTATTTATTTATTTATTTATTTATCACGTTTCACGATCATCAAAGTGTAAGCATGCAAGATTGCAACTATCAACCACTAATCATTACAATATCCGAAAGTGGTACAAAGAAAATTTTGCTTGAGATATTTCTCTTGATCCTTGATCGATTAATTTTTCTTTTGTTTCGTCGATCTGTGAAAGACCGTCATCTAATAAACATTTTACTCTTGCAGTAGGCACGGATAATACATTAGGTAAACTAAAGACGCCTATTGAGAATGCTGTCCTGTGAAAATAATAAGTCTTTGAGTGTATTAAAAAATTTGTAAGTGATCATGCTATGACCAAATGAAACAAACATTCAAACAGAATCAGTCGCGAGATTTAGTACAGACTAGAGTCTAGTCTGTAGATCGCTGTACATAAAACACGCTACACCCCTCGCATTCAGAATTTTCGAGGGAGATACAATAGTGTCATTAAAATATCGAACGTTACATTATCGTCGTATCGTCGATGTTTCCCCTCCCCGCTTTGTACGTTTTCATCAGTTTCAAGAATTACTCATCTAGAATACTTTCTCTCGCTTCTTGGATTTGGTTCATTGACCAATCTGTAAATAATGTATATAAAACTTTTACGAAAATTCAAAGCTATTTATCATGTCGACGGCAAAAGGAAGTGTCACGAGAAACAATTAAAACACGATACTTAGATCATCGCATAGACCCCCAGAATAGATCCTTCATCGACAGGTTAGGATATACTACCCAAGTCTTTAGGTCACAATCGCAATAGCATGGTCTCATTACGGATTTTAGAGTCGATGTAACCTGCACGCTGCACGATCTCATCTTATCGATTCTTCTGTTTCGGAACGGATGCTACTGTTCCTCGGACCGTCTTGCGTCCGATAACGCCTGCGACACGTTGTCGAGAACTAAAGTTCGATGTAGAAAAATTTCCTTCGATCGAAGCACGTCGTTACGGCACTCGACAACGCGTTGATGACGTTGCGTAAAATCGTCTGGTTTCCAAAAACTGAGAAACGTGTGCTTTTCGCAGTGTCGACGCAGCTGTGTAACACGATCGCGGATGACCTGACGCGAACGGCGGACAATGTGGTGCAGCTGTATAAACGTTTAACGATAGACAAGGAGGACGAGGGTGCTAGCATCGACAGGGACACGATGCTGCGCGGCCTCCAATCTTCCGTTAACGAGACCATGCGCACTTTGCGATTGGTGGTAGCCGGTGGACAGGGAAACGCCGACGGATCGTCAGCGACAGGCAGCGACAGCGTGGTCGTGAACGAGGCAACCGCCACGTTTCAGGAGCTGCTCGCCGGACAGGATCAGGGTAAGGTGGTCAACATGATGCAACAGTACTCCGAATTGCTGCTGACCATGATGCAGCAGAGGATGGGGGGAACGCAGTCGAGCCATACGTAAAATCCGTCCATCTGCCAGTTCTCCGTGGAGAAGAACGATCAGAACGTCCAGCCGCGATGTCGTCGAGATTCCGTCGATTCCTACGCCTCTAACACTTTGCATTCCCCCCCCCCCCCTCACTCTACCAAAATCCTATTCTCTCTGATTACTGTATCTCGAACCTCTTTCAGTGTCCCTGAGTTTAGACGCGATTCGCGATCACGCAAGACGAAGAGAGATAGAGTCGCGCGATGAATTTTAACACGAAGATTATCGAAGAGTGTGAAGCAACTGGAGGAAACAGATGGTTCCCACACATCCACAGAGTCGATATCAAAATCGAAACTTCGAAGTTTGAGTTTAATCGAACGTTAACGTTAAGAGGGTGATATATTTTTGGTTCTGTTGAACAAGAGATCTTTCAGTTTCCGATTAAAAAGACAAGCATGCGTTTTACGTTTAATCCAGTTGCTGGTGAACGATTTTCCGCTTGGAAGCTCCGAAAACAGCGGAGGAACGAGAATTTAAGTGGGTAGTCGTGAATGTCGTATGTGCGTGTACTGGACGGTGTCTGTAGCCAAAGTTAGCGAATATTTATCAGCAGTTTCGTGCAAAGAAGTCCGCGAGATTCGCGAAAATCCAGACGGGCTAATTTGCAATAATTCGGTTCGAATACCGTGTTTCAAGCTAAGTTGCACCATTGAACAATAACAAATGGAAAACCAGCAACGTGAAACTCTCTCGTATCTTGAGGCCATATGCCGTGAAATGCCAATTAACTAAAGACTCTTAGACTAGTTTTCAAACGAGTATATATTATATATATATATATATCGACTATTGCGCGACATTATATCATAATATTAGTCTTCTCGTTGTGTAACCAAAGGCTGTCTGTACCTACGGTCTAAAAGAAGCGTACCTACCTTCCCCGATGTTTAAAAAGCTTCTACACGGCGAAACTGTAATTAAAGTAAACAGCAAGCGGTGTAAAATTGCCACTACGAAAGATATAGAACACTCTATCTAGCCAAAATTAGTCGACGCATTTAGGCGAAGGAAAGAGAAAAAGAAGGCTTCGTAGACCTATTCGGTGCGTCGCGTGTAGAATTCAAACGTGTGATTTTATATTTTCAAATCAATGTACGAAACACAAATATTGTCACCTACTAATTTTACTTCGCAGAACCATCTGGTAGAGTATAATTCCTGACCATTGAACTAAAAACACTAAAACCTCTATGGATTGATGAACAATAGGTGCGAGGAATTAAGTTTTCTTGGACGGATTGATTTGAGTCGAAATCGATACTCAACTCAGAAGCTGTGCTACATAACGATCGCATATTTTGTCATAGGGATTACAAATATTTTTACACCATGAATAATGTCAAGAGACGAAGGAGAAAAAACAAAGTTCCAAAGCGTCGTAAAACTTTCGTTGAATCGTTGTGCCGAGTTCGAAGGTGAAGTACTTCGGGCTTGATAGATATTTCAAAGGAAGGACTAGCATCGAGGAATCAAAGTATTACGAACACGTATTATTATTAACGAATTCTAACGTAAATCGCGACAGGCGCGATTCGTTTCTCGCTCCCTCCCATTAAACACATACCATAGTTACTTTCCTGTCATCCTCTCTCTCTGTAGAGTTACTTCGGATTGTATGTAATGTATAAAACGTGCCATTTAGGTTTATAACGATTCATAATCGTTTTCATGTACTCCCTCCGCGAGAGACGTTTTTTCATTGCTTCTTCAGCGTATCGTTAATCTTTGTTGATAAACCTGTAACATATCTTTAGTCTCTCGTACGTGCGAATCCACGACCGGAAAGTTGGTTCACGTCGATTACATAATTCATAGAGTTGCACCGGATAAAAGCGACCTGGCGACTAATCATAATATAGTATTCCTTCGCGAGGATCACTTCTCTTTTCTTTTTTTTTTTTAACGATTCGATCAAAAGCGTCTGTGGTTTTCCGTACATCTCCCTAATCGTGTAACCCTCTCTAGTGCGCAGATAATTTTTTACGGAGGTGACTTTACTCCCGAATGATACGGATCAACACCTTTGTCGCTTGTGCCCATCCTCTCGCTTTTTTTTTCCAATCATCAAAGCAATAAATAACGTCGAAACGATCGTAATCGCGTTCTCGCTTAATAGAGATTAATTTGATTATTATCAAAAGTATCATTTACCGAATCTGGTATTAAAAGCTTACAAATACGGCATGACAACTGATACCGTTACTCCTTATCGGTTCAAACAACCGTCTCCCGAAATCGAGGCCGACCTATGGCTTCGACGGTGAAGGTGTTGATCGCGTTTAATATATCATTACATACTCTAGAGACTAGAATATTTTGTATTCGATGTCAGCATTTTTGTAACGTATCATCATTGTCGTGATCATCATCATCATCATCATCATCATTATCATCGTCATCATCGTTAGCGTATAAATCTTCTCTGCCCCCCCCCCCCCCCCATCCTTCCCTCTATCTCTCTCAACGTAATAATCATCAAAGACATTAATAAGATACTTTTAACCGGTCGCAAAGATTATTAGTGGCTTTGTATATTGTTGTACTTGTTGTATTAAGGCGTATTGTTATGTAATGTGTTACTCGTTTACTTAATTGTGTACATATTTATTTCGAATCACGCAGGAAGCAAGACATATTTGGTAATCGTGAACGCCAAATGTAATAATTTTGCCGTAAAAGAATTGTGTAAGTTTTTAGCACTTTGTTTTGTATATTATGTTAACGATTAATAATATAATAATTCGTACAAGCTGAAGTTGAAACGAAGTCGAAACGTTAGTTTTCTTTTTCTTTATAGAACAAATGTTCGAATTAAAATATATACTCATATATTAAAAAGTTTTATTTTCAGAAAACAACGCATCATCAAAGTGATTCGATAACTAAAAATGTTACGAAATTCTCATTCGCGGGCTAATTTTCATAAAAATATAACCGTTCTCTATGCAATAGGAACACATTCCGCTCACTACATATATGTATATGCATAACATGAAATATAGTTTTCAACATACAACATCACTTGATTCATGGAACATTTATACGCGCAAGTTTCATTCGTGGAAGACTGTTGTTCGTAATAATTTTCTGTGTCGTGTAAATACTGTTCTATATACTGTCGTTTGTCATGATCGATGCATGGTGTGGAACTAACTGAGAATAATACGATGTGCTACTGATACAATAAAAAATGTGATGAATAAGCTGTTGGTTAACTCTTCACGGAGGACCACATTGCTGAGATTTTTGGCACTACTGTTGCAAAGTCTCCACGCACTCATCTAGCATACATAAATTATTCGTCGTACTCCAGTTCTTCAATGTGTTTAACACCTTTTATCTGCCGTTCGATTGGCGGAGTTCCTCTAGCTGTAAATAAAAATATTTTAATTATAGAAATTCGTTGAATGTGGCGAAGCAAAGAAGCCTTTCGCAAACCTCTTTTTCTTCGTCAACTTCGTCTTCGTCTTCGTCATCGGATCCGTGAACCGAAGCAGCCGGAGTAGTGTGTCTTGACGAAGAAGGCGATGGTGGTTCACTGATTGGTCTGGGATAACTGAAACGACCTACTCCACCCTCGGCGTATTCTGACGCCAATTCTGGATAGACGGTCATTAAAGCCTTTATTCTGGCTTGGCGATAATACTGCAAGTATCATCGCGATATAAACAAAGAGATTAGATGGGGTAAGGTAGGAAATGTGATCGAAGAAAATGATGCTGAATCACTTACAATGCCAAGATTTCTCCAGTCGAGAAGATCGCTAAGACGTTCCGTACGGTTTCTTTGAATGATGCGCTGTCGACGACTAAGTCGAGCAAAATCGAACATGTACTGCGCCAGTTGTTGGACAGTATTTTCTAGACCAATGAATCGCCTATCAACGATGTAAATACCGTAACTCATTGGATCGGCTATGTGCTCTTGCATGAAGCAACCGAAACCGGACAGATTGGTGGTGATGCTGGGGATACCCATAACAGTACATTCTGCAGGTGTGTAGCCCCAAGGTTCGTAATAGGACGGGAACACTCCTAAATGACATCCTCTGACAAACTCTTCGTAATCCAGACCGAATAATGGATTTGTGGATGAGAGAAATTCTGGATGAAATACTATCTGCAATTCGGAGCAAGAATTTAATCGAACACTCATCGTGTCTGACGCGTGGATCTGTGATTTGTGGATGAGAGAAATTCTGGATGAAATACTATCTGCAATTCGGAGCAAGAATTTAATCGGACACTCATCGTGTCTGACGCGTGGATCTGAATAATAATAATAATAATAATGTGTCATATTACCTTAACTCGATCGTTAATAGTATTAAACATATTGCATCTTCTGATAGCATTCAGTACCGGATCATTCCAATCATCTACAACATTGTGCGTGGTAACTGGTGGCAAACCATTTCTTTGCAAAGCATATAAACACCTGTGCGAAAAACGACAAAACCAATTACTACTTGTTGGATTCCGATTGACATTGCAGTTGTTCGTTACATGCACGCTACCCACCGTTTTATTTTGATAGTGTCTTCTTTCTGTAAGAGGTCTTGAGCGTCAGGCATACGACCAGACAGGCACAGTTCGTACATACGTTTTCCAATCTTTTGTTGTATATCGCTGATAGTATCTCTTAGGGATTTAGTGACCTTCAGCGAGAAAATGGAATAATTCCTATAGATTCGTCGCATTAACTACTAATCTAATTCTAAGTACGAAGTCATTCAACTTACAGCGTGACCTCGTAACGACTCCACGTTAAAGTTATTGGTTCTTGCTGGGAAAATAAGGAAAGCAACTACCGTCATATCGGGTCTGGACGTTTTTAAATAATGATTTAATCGAGCCAAAGCTTCGATGAATATGTCAGCGCCCTTGTTGCCAAACTCGTAACGTCCAGCAATGAAGAAATACAAAGTTTTATCCAGATTGAAGTCATAATGACTAGAAACCATACACACGTGATGTAATGCTATTAAAAAAATACTGCAACCGAGATCTCGTTACTCATACGTACCCATAGAAGTGACCCCTAACAAATTCATGTATTTTTTCTTTGCTAATAGCGTGCAAGTTTTGGAATTCGTGCAGCGCGGCAAATTTCTTTACATTCAGTCCGTTGGGAGTAATTATATCAGGCTTTCGTTTCAATAAATGTTCGGCCTCGAAGCCAGTTATATCTGATACGGTTGTAAACACGTGCGCTAGATGCGAAGCTGCTCGTTCCATACAATATCTATGGTAAATTTGTCGTTTTCCGGCCTCCTCGTCGACATTGAACTAAAAAAATTGGATATTCTTGATTTGATACTGCCGAGCAACGTTCAGCCAGAAACAAAAATTACACTTTAATTTGACATCTCTGACATCGGTACGATACCTGATCTAAATTATTATAAAAGTCAGTCTTTCCCGCGCAAAGATATCTGCCGAGAAGAGTAGCATGCGTAGTGAAAACTGTGGCCACGTCTACGTGCCTGGTCCTCAAAGCGATCAAGCCCACACCAGCTTGCCATTCGTGGCAATGGACAACTACACGAGGTGGTACGTCAGAGTACCCCTCAGCGGCTTTTCTAAAATTAGAAAATCATATTTAACGAGTGATCAGAGGAAATAAAAGCGCATTGGATATCGTGCAAAGGGGTATCCACCTGAATTCAGAAATAAATTGACAGACGAGATAACCGAGAATAACTGCGTCGTTAGCCTCTATATCGAGATGCGGAATACCAAGGTTGCAGGTGTTCCATAGTTCCTGTTTATACTCGTCTAACTTCCAGGCTGCGCTTCCAATGTCGAAAAGAATTATTTGCGGATTTCCGTCCACTAGCCAGGTCCCTGTTACCACCTCAATAAGGGTTCTTGTTTTAAAATAATATAAATTTTACTTATTCTTATATTTTAGCAATTTTTCAACACACTGATAAAGTAAGGAGGAACTACATGGTTCACCTAGTGGATCAACTGCCCTTGAATTAATTTTGGCCTTGCACTTGGGCTTTAGCCAAATCATTATTCTTAGCACATAATAAACAATTTTAGCAGCTAGATGCATGCCTCTGCAGAAGTAACTAATGTTTTCAACAATCTATTCACAATTTGTTTGTATTTTTCTATTAATATCTCCTTGTCATAAGCATTCAACTTTCATCAACAAATGATTTCTCATTCAGTACTGTGTATTCTTACTTTGAATCCTTGATCGCGTAGAACTTGAACAGCCAAATGCAATGGACTATTACGTGGGAAGTCTGCTTCCTCAACTTCTGTTCTAGCACAGGTTTCTTTATAGGGACCTATTAGACAATATTGATCTCCCATTTCCTCTGTTGAGACAAAGGCCTTGGAACGTATGACTGTATATATACCACCAACTAAAAACACCAATAGTAAAAATAATGATCTTCAATGTTCCTATTTCTGTTAAAACACAGTTTATTGAATTTTGTATACCTTTGTTAGCTGCCTCCCATGCAACTTCAAAATTCCATCGATTCTCATGTTGTGCAGTATATCCACGATCCATAAATTCAAGCAAGTCATTACTGCTATCTACACGATAAAATCTTCTTGATGCTCGTTCCCTTGACATTTTGCTGGCTCCTCTTCAATCTATGTTTGTACAACATAAATTTAAGTCAGTGAATATTTACATTGATGCCATAGTGTGCCTTGAGGTACACACGAATTTTCCTGAGTTCATATGAACTCCAAAACGCAAAATTTGATCTTTGTACACAACTTTATATTCTGACTTCTCTACAATTTGTGTTAAATAACTTCTCCTTGTTTTAAACTTACAAAATATACTTACAGTTTTTCTGAATCCGTTGAATTTAATAATAAAAGACCGACGTTAATTATACTATAAAACTTTATCGTTACAATGATACATCCATCGAACCTAACTCACGTTTATATATCGGAAGTTTCCGGTCTGTGCAGCTACCGATATTTTCAATTCACTATTCGGTCACTTTAAAAATCAATCCAATTCACGACTATTTAAATGATCGCAGCTCCGAATAGCAAATGCCACAGTTACAATAATTGCAAATACGTAAAATGTTTTGTTTCACCTTTAAATAATATTGATAACCGTGAACACACCGTTTCAAGATCAAGATCAAGATCGATGGGATCAGAATTCGATGTGCGCTAAGTATCCGCTGTGAGTTCGAGTCAAGTTCGACTAGGAAATATCGTTCTCGAAAGAAGCACGTTGCGTCTACAAGTTTATCAAAGGTCAATGACAGCGCGAGGTATTACCATTTTTATTAGTGTTTGCCGGGTCCGTTGAACCACGCGACGCTCACGAAAAAAAAGATAAGAAAAAACTTACTCGAAATATAAAAGAAACTGCGAGATATACAGGGGCTTTTTTAAGCAGGAAAAATTCACTTACATTTGCTGGAAATAATGTTTCGCTAGCCTGGACGGAGCGAGTAAGTTCCACTGAGTTCCACGGCCAAGCTCGCTTGAAGGTCACCACAAACTACGAAAGGTCACAAGGGCTTGACGGGGCCTCGAGTCGGCTTCTCAGCTTACTTTGAACCCGACAGACGAATCTTCGCCCTGTTCGCTGATAAACGCATTACTTAGATTTCTTTCGCAACAGATGGCACGAGATATCTCTTCGGGGCTACCACACCACTTCTTGGCTCGTGATCAGCCTCTCCGTCGCTACTTCTTCCGACTAACACGCGCGTGCGACAATTGCCTAAATGCTAAAGTCTCTTTCATATGAATACTCGAATTCTACTACTACGCAACGTGCGTTTCTTGTTCGAACAAGGTCGATCGATAGATTGATACGGTGACAAATTATACTACATTCATAAATTATACTTGTATATGAAAATATAGAACATTTGATGAATATCCGTCATTGACCTTATCTGTAGGGAAGTACTTTTGAGTACATATTTCAGTTTGTAACCACAACATAATCACGTGCTATTCACACAAATACCTAAATACATAATATTTTTCGATTTAACTGTTAACAGTGTTTTATTTTCAGGAATAGTACTCCACGTTACTGACACCTAAGCATCATACGAGTATTTAAAGGTTCTTGTTGTCTAGTTAGCAAGGATTCGTTTAAGTTTAAATTATAAAAGAAGTACAATTGCAAGCGTACTGCTTGAAAACGTTATGAAAATATAAATTCAAAGCTATGTATGTGAAATAAACACGATACGGCAGTGTAAAGTTAACTGTAGCATGAATTTCAAATGATAAGAGATTAAGCATTTAATATACATATGTATATGTAGCATGAAATCGACTATTTATTACATGGGTTCTGCAATACTCCATGCAGATTACTGGAGTTTATCAAAACTTAGGAGATTGGATTAAGCTAGTTGCCATGCCAATTAATGCAGCTTAGATAAGATTCCTATTCTTTGTTTCCATGGTAACTGTACAAACGAAATACAAATCCATAGGCATAGACGAGGTGTATAAGAATAGCAAGTGGGATGAACTGTGTTTCTTGGTAGTGGATCATAGAACCCCCGGAACATGCGTAAGAAACCCCGTGTGGTAAAAAAAAGTGGGGTCATAGAACCCCCGGAGCAAACGTAAAAGACCCGTGGGTGTAAGAAGGTAGGGTCATAGGACCCCCGGAGCATGCGCAACAGACCCCGTGGTAGAACACAGTGGGGTCGCAGAACAAAACTCAGGGGGTTCTATGACCCCTCTCTTTCTCCATACGGGGTCCCTTCTACATTCCCGGGGGGTTCTATGACCCCACACTATCGTCGCATGGGTCGCTCACGCTTGGCCACTGGGGTTCTATGACCCCACTCTTGCAACGCACGGATCTCTTCCATGTTCCCCCGGGGTTCTATGACCTCACACTATCGCCACACGGGGTCTTTTAAATGAGGATTACGGGACAATGAACGGTACTGAAATGGCTTGCGTCAGTAACCATTTGAAACGTGATCCTTTATCGCTGTTGCTCGTACAACTCGCGAGCTCGGTCGAATGTTGCTCGTGCAACTGTCGAATTGGGACTGACGCTTGTGCGTGTTCCCGTGAAGAAATTAGATAATAACCCCAGCACCCATGGCAGTTTCTGCAGATACTACTACAGCCCAAGTTTAAAAGACGTAGGCAGTAGTTAGTTTCTGTAGAAACCTGTTGAAGCAGACAACTATAATTAGTATAAGATTGTACACTGTTTATGCAGTTATATTTAAGACAATTCGATGAAATGAAGCTTATATTAACTGACGCATGTTTATAGGAATATACATATGTATACATATAAATTCTAATGATATAAAAGTTTGAAATACAATATGATGCGGTACGGTACAATACGTCTATTCGAATCAATTGCTCCCTTGCGACTACAACATCATGCTATCCGCGTTCGGCGCAATGCGCTAATACGGAGGCCAACGAAATATCACTGTAACACTTAAAAAAGTGTGAAAGTTCCATTTATATCATTATCCTGTGAAAATATTCATACTTCCATTAGCATTCATATTCCAATCAATGAATTTACAGAATAAGGAAAAGGAATCTAAAGTAATTTTCAGTAGTTCCATACATCTTTATCTCGAATAATTGTCTAAAACATTCAAAGTACTAGACATTTTTACACTTTGAATTTCATATCGATTTCTAAAATAATCCTAGTTCGATGTAATATAGAACGTGGTTTTATGAAATAGATTAGAAGTTCGCAGCCATTAGCTCGATATTGTCTTCAGTTTACAGTACTTTACCGATGACAATACCGATTGCCCAGGCCTCACCACGAGGAGGTTGCTGCGAGTGGAGGCCCAAGGCAAGTAGATGGAATCACAAGTTCTACATCTACCCACCTTTCACAATAAACCTTATAAATTACTTAAATCTTAACTATATAATACTACCGATACTAAAATCCCTCGGCGGATGACTTCTTTCTTGAGCCTAAACCTATAAAAAACTAAGTTCCCTCGTCGGTTGTCTTCGTTCTTCAGCTTAGAACTAATATTATCTTAATATTCTAATTAATACGAATTAATGCTAGTAATACGAAATAACAAATTTAACGCAATGTAGTCGCTAATACTCAAACGAAAGAGATAGACGGAATGGAAAAAGTTCCATCGATCATTTCGTTTACGCACCTAATATACCAAGCCAAAAATTAATTCTACGATGAACCACGTTAAACTACAGTATGAACAAGTATCGCGATGAAAGTGTTGTCGCCAGAACCTGGTTTAAGAAAATAGGAAAGACGGGCGCAACCTCGCAAACCCGAATCCATCTCTCACTTTCCAGGCCCTTTGGGCTGGTCACCTACGTACCAGACCCGAGCACAGGTCATGACCAAGTATGGTAGTGCAAGCGAGATCCCCTGTAAAACAGAGTCCTTTTACGGAGCAGACTCCCGACTACTCCGTAGGCGGGTACGTTGTACCCAGGCGCGCACGAGCCTTTACTCCAAATCCTACTTACCAGGCAAAGACTAAACACGTCCGATATCTGGCTTCTCAATAGAAACCAGAGGGATCGGCAAACAGTCTTAGTGCACAGGCCCACTGCCCGTACCATAATAGGTACAGACCCACTGCCCATACCCCAAGTCTGTGTAGAGAAATCAACGAGCAAAATGAATTAATAATAACTTGGTATGCACAATGGCTGATCACAATTTAAGTCTATTAATAGATAGACTAAAATTAATAATAAACGATGTGATGATGAATATGAATATAACAATGAATATCGAATTATGATTTAAGTTTAACTTACAGTAACTTAACGCAGTGGTAGACGCACGCTTTGAAGATGTAGACGTTGATCGATGTCTTCTTTCGATGGAATAACTGTTTGGAAAAATATTTTTCATTATACAATACACATAGAATACATAATATGCACAGTAAATAAATCACAGTAAATAAGAAAATAAATATCGAAGCCAATGGTTCTCGAACATCTGTAACATACAAGGAATTAGTAACAAGAGAGGGGACACAACAGACAGATGGATTAATAATATGCACAGTAAATAAATCACAGTATAGAAATCACAGATAGAATGCACAGTAAATAAATCACAGTAAATGAATCACAGTACATAAGAAGATAAATATCGAAGCCAATGGTTCTCGAACATCTGTAACATACAAGGGATTAGTAACAAGAGAGGGGACACAACAATATGCACAGTAAATAAATTGATGGTTGTCGAATGCCTGCAACAAACAATAGGTTAGTAACAAGAGAAAGGACGAGTTGAGACACGCGCCCACCCTCCGCGACGGCTCACGAGAAAGTGAGGAAGCTAACGCCGTTATGTATTGGGCGTACGCAGGTTTGTTCCTGTTGAATTGTTTTTGCCGGCTTGAACGACCCAAACACCAGATGGTACGGTCATGGTACACGACGTACACGGCTAGGTTAATAAACTGTGTGACGCAACATCACTAGCGCGTTGGACGAAGAGCACCGACACCGCGGCACGCTCTACCGCTCTCGCTCGCTCCCGTTCGACCGTTCCGGCCATCTCCGGCACCGTTCGGCACACGTCGGCACCGACGGAGGGCACCGTACCGCGGCATTATCTGTTACCAATATACAAATGTAAGGCAAGATATAAAAACGAATAAAACAAGAACATATAAAAAGTAACATTAATAAAATGTCCATTAACGATGCATTTAGAATAAATTGTCTTATAGTTAAGTGAAAAAATATATACTTTTCCGTTTCATGTTTCCTGACTGTTATATTTATCCCTTAATCTTAAACTGAAGCATCGGATATTGTTATTCCCGTCAAATCGTATAGATACACGTAATATGAATTGAATATATAACACTTCATTTGTGCTAATAATACTCAGATTTCATGCTTTATCGGTAACGTCGGGTACTGACACTAAAATGGTAAGGAGGCTTCTGACGCCCTCGAAGCATGGGACAGAAAGTTACATTACATGTTAGATCTATTCTTATATCTCATCTGTGGTAATACAGCATCATCGCAAAGATTAGTCATTTCAAAGCTATCTCGATAGAGGACTCATAGATCGCCGATAACGACGAGGTTCCCTTCTACAGAACAGGTGTTCACACTTCATGCAGCAGTTCGCAATTCGCGATTCCAAATAATCGTATTAGAGTTAATTACAGTTGATATTGGGAGCATAAACACGTGGAAAACTTGCAATCATGGCGGTAAATATATTGTATAAAAATAAAAATTATTAATTACTTTTAGCGTCTTACGGTATAATTGTAAATGACATCAAAGATATGATATAGTCTAGACTGTGTCTGCTGTATCTACACCGGCTAACCTGTATACGTTAAACTTATATATAAATAACGTAACTTTTGAGAAGTTATTTTTTTCTGTTGTATTATGATTTTACAATGCAAATTATTATAGTATGAATTTGTGTAATTTCTTCCATATCTTTCTAACAGAAGCAAAACAAGTTGCCATGGAAACTAATTGTTTGATCCATTTCTGTGTTTATGCAATGCATGTGTACTATACATAGCATAGAAATATAGATTGCACATTCTCTATGAAACAGGTATCTCAATTTTAGAAAGAGGTAGATAGTTTTCGGAGAACTTGGTATCTCTTTTTAAATCTAAGTAGTGGGGAGTAAGATTCTAGAGGTCTGAATTTTGAGTGGTTGACTGAGCTATATTAGCAAGAGATAGCAAGTCTTCTGAAAGTAACCCATCACTTTCTAAAGTTGGGACACCGGCCCAGCTTGACGGGCACTTTACATCTCTATGTCTATGGTACTATATGTATAAATGTACATTACTACTTTATGCTGACATTAATGTATTCATGTTTCAGGCTGTCGCAGCTGCGAAAGTTCAAGAAGTTCGTGAAATCACTAGGATAGAGAGAATTGGTGCCCATTCTCATATTAGAGGTTTAGGCTTAGATGATAGCTTAGAACCACGTAATGTAATTAATTTATTTATTCTACATATAGCTGTTGAAAGTTCAAGATTATTTAGGTTCTCATTGCTCAATTATAATTGCTTAGGTGTCACAGGGGATGGTTGGTCAGCTCACGGCACGTCGTGCTGCTGGTGTTGTCCTTGAAATGATTAAAGATGGAAAGATAGCAGGTCGAGCAATATTATTAGCAGGTCAACCTGGCACTGGCAAGACTGCTATTGCCATGGGAATGGCTCAAGCTCTTGGAATGGATACTCCATTCACTTCGATGGCTGGTTCCGAGATATATTCTCTGGAAATGAGTAAAACAGAAGCTCTGACTCAGGCTATAAGAAAATCTATCGGTGTTAGAATTAAGGAAGAAACAGAAATTATAGAAGGCGAGGTGGTTGAAATTCAGGTGGATAGACCTGCCACAGGGGTTGGTGCCAAAGTTGGTAAATTAACCCTGAAGACAACAGAGATGGAAACGATCTATGATTTGGGAAACAAGATGATTGATAGTCTAATGAAGGAAAAAGTCAGTAAATTCTTAATATACATATGTATATATTTCTAATATTCTTATCTAACTTTGTACATTATTTGCTTATTCAAGGTACAAGCAGGGGATGTAATAACGATCGATAAAGCTACAGGAAAAATCAACAGACTGGGTAGATCTTTCACCAGAGCTCGTGACTACGACGCGACCGGTTCGCAGACTCGTTTCGTACAGTGCCCTGAGGGCGAATTACAGAAACGTAAGGAAGTAGTGCACACGGTCACGTTGCATGAAGTCGACGTCATAAATAGTAGAACTCATGGATTTCTGGCATTATTCTCTGGAGACACGGGAGAAATAAAATCAGAGGTGCGAGATCAAATAAACGCTAAAGTCGCAGAATGGCGGGAAGAAGGAAAGGCAGAAATCGTACCTGGTGTCCTGTTCATCGACGAGGTTCACATGTTGGACATCGAATGTTTCTCCTTCCTCAATCGGGCACTTGAAAACGAGATGGCACCAGTTGTAATTATGGCTACGAACAGAGGTATACCCACTGAACATTTCAGACGCTTGTATTAAAATCGGGACTGACTTCTTTCTTGATTCTTCTTACCTTCATTGAGTTCGCGGTAAATTCCACAGCTCTAAGAAGGGGCAATCATCGTTTTCTAAACTTTGATAATGAAAGATTCATTTCTCAACTTTGTAGGTATTACAAGGATCAGAGGAACAAACTATAAAAGTCCCCATGGTATTCCTATCGATTTGCTAGATCGTATGATCATCGTTCCAACGAGTCCATACCAGGAGAAGGAATTGAAGGAGATTTTGAAGATTAGGTGCGAGGAGGAGGACTGCGAAATGGCTGACGATGCTTTAACAGTGCTCACGAGAATCGCGTTGGAGACGTCGCTTAGATACGCGATTCAATTGATAACTACTGCATCTCTCGTTAGTCGACGAAGAAAGAGTACCGAAGTAAATATGATGTCGATCTTTCATAATTTATTGTAGTGTTCACAGTTGCACAAATGCTATTTGAAACGTGTATTTTCAGGTGAATATCGATGACGTGAAGCGTGTGTATTCGCTATTTCTCGATGAACATAGATCTGCACAGTTCCTCAAAGAATATCAAGACGATTTTATGTTCAATGAAATGCGTAAGTAAATTTATAATCGCATGGGGTGGCTTTATTTACTGTTTCGATCATTCCTACCTTTGTTTCAGCGGAAGAATCGATGGAAATATCGTAACGATAAATAGGTAAATAAATAAATAAATAAATCGCCCTTATTCCGACATTGTTCAATAAACATTCATAATTTTTTACTTAATGGTTCTATGATATACCTTTGAAGTGTCAGTCAGTTTTATCCAAGTGTCGAGTAAACGCATTGAATGTAAATGCAATTTCAGGAACGATGGCTATATATTTCGAATTAAATACAAAAAAAAAACTTAACAAATTCCGTTTGTATCCTGACTACAGTTTGGCTTCGCAACGTTTGATTTTGTTCGACGCGTTACAGTCTAATAAATTCGTAACGATGAAAACAATTATCTAGCGTTAAATCAAATAACAGAGGTACATATGTCACTTTTTGGCGTAAGGTTTCTGTAATTGCGTAACACAAGTGGTTTTCAAAGAAAATCCCGTTCTGGAATTTCAAAGGTTTAAATTTAACTTACGATCCACGAAATGTTCTCGCATATCACAGCGTAACGTTAATGAATCTACGTCGCTTCGTCGATGATGGACCTTCGCTCGACCACGGAAATTGGAAATATTCATCGTCTCGTTTGCAACGGAAGTCACGCTGCGATCGGGGGAAGATCAACTTGTTCGCGTTGTCGTCGACGATCTTACGTTTTCTTTTCTTGACCCTTTTTATCTAAAAAATAGAACGTTTTCACGTGTTTCAATTCTACTGTGAAGTACACTTTTGACACAAAAAGTTGATCAATGGTTAGCGCTGTTCGAAGCTTTTGTCGTGACGAGCGTTTTCTGCTTTACTTACTCGTTATCAGTTTTACACCACCCTCAGGCTTGAACGAGGATTGGGTCTTTTTATCCTTTGGTAGAACTCCTAGACCGTATACCACTTTGTAGACAGGAAGAGGAATTACCGTAGACGAAACTGGTACCATCACTGAAACATCGTTTAATCTCTCGTTTACAGCAATACTGTTTCATTGTTATTCGCAAATTAGGGATTCATCTTTGTAACTACGCGTTAATGGAATAAAAAGTCTGTCCACGCACAAAAAAATACTCAAGCATCGTATAACTATAGATCATGCACGATATTTTAACGCGCGCGCGCGCGCGCGGAACTAGAAACGGTTCGAAGCGAAACGCGTATCGCGGTCTATCAAACGTTCACCCGCGCTAGACTGAATGGGGAATATTTGCTTATCACTCTTAATCGAATATCGATTCATTAAACAGCCGGCGTCGGCGTCTGCGTCGGTTCGTTGTTTAATTATTGGCTCTCGACGGGCCGTTGGCAGTTGAATGAAAATCGGGTCGTGCAGCAGTGGTACGTGAAAATCTCTGTTATTTCGAGATCCTCTCGTCTCTCCTTGTTGCCGTGATATCTCGATTAAATCTGTGGTGCTCGATCGGCGAGATTCATCGATCGCGCGCTCTGCCGCTTGTTGTCGCTTCGAAACGGTTTACTGATTGAATACCCGCAAGCTAAGCGAAACGATCACAGTTTTTCGATTATCGACGAATAAACGCTATTTGATATTTCCTAGTTACACCTGTCTCCTTTCAAAGCAGATAACTGTGTAATACAACTTGTTCGAGAATCTTCGCTCACGGTTTATTGTTTTAACGTTTACGAGTGGGACCATTATCAAAACTTGAGATAGTTCTGCATAGTTTATTTGTTACAATGCACAGTGTGATCCGTTAATGGTCCAACTGAAAGGAGTTTCATAAAAAATTAAGTTGAAAGTCTGGAATAAATTGTTATTCGCATAAGGCTTTTTGTTCCCGAAGAAACCTCTTTTGAAAGTGAATCTGATACGTATGTACTTGTTCTTACAATAAGTAGTGATGGCAAGCAATGAACAGACATGTTAGTATTATTCTAGATTATCGAGATACAATTTTCTCTATGAAGAATCACTCCTTCTCGGTTGTAATGCCAATAATGAATCACCTCGTACTTTTCAAACATAATTTTGTGCAAATACAGACAACGAGTATATGTATATTATTCAGTATGTAAGAGTACGCTCTTACTATTTTCCATATTATTCCATACTCAATTTCACGACTGTTTTCACGTGTAAATAAATCGCACATGCAACTTCGACTTGTGCATGCAATCGCAAAAATTGAATTTCAGCGCGCTCGTCAAGCGATACGTTTAATTACGCGATAAACGGAGATTGCATAATTTTGTCCGAAATGTGAACACAGAAACAAGTATGTATAATCGCGAATTGAATGTTCTGCTGAAAGTCGCAGTGATTATGAATTCTCGACGTAAAATAGAAAGGTCAAAACGCGTGCACGGTGAACGTATCCAGACGTTTCCGATCGTGGCAACCATTCCGTCAGCTGGAATGTCACTCTGAACTGTATCGAGCTGGTATTTACCGGGATTAATTATCATACCAGCGGGCGAATCGGGGAACCGACGCACCGTGGAATGTACTTTCCATCGATGGAGTCCGATTTCAGTTACCCGCCACACCTGCGACATTTTCTCTGCAGATAGTCATGTCCTCAAATGGGAGGAACGTATGGGAAACGAATACGTATCCTTCCTTCCATGGAAACGCGCACTTTTCTTAATGAAGTCATTAAAGCTAACCAAGCTTTAAACGCGAACAACAGAATTAATTTAACATTATTAACGTGGATGAATTTTTAAAGCAGTGGTAATTCAATTTTTCGTATTACTGAATGAAATTTCGTAACACCTTTATCACGTCAATCTGATAATTACAAGGTTTGGGTTTAGCACATCCGGTCTGTACGCAACCGTGAGAGCGAAATTGTGCGAATCTTTCGAGGATTACGAGCGATTAAACGCGTGCAAAAATTCGACGAAATTAAAGAGAGATATTCTAGCATCAAGGTTCTGGTCGTTCGATTGAATAAACGTAGGATGGAAAACGGATCGAATATCCGTTACCGATGTACGGTTAAAGTACGAAACTTTTCTAACTGTAAACATCTATGTTAAGCTATCCGATTTCACGTGCGATTCGAGGTATATAAGCAGAAACCGACGTTCAACTTTGTTGAAGCGACTCGAAAAGATTCGAATCCGCTGTTACGTACCATCGGGCAATCCCAAGTGGTTATTTACAAAGTAAATAAACGTGCTCGTAAGAATTGACGACACAAATATATCTATCCGGGATGTCGGTGCGTTCTCGTATCATATCGCAACACAGTTAAATCCTTTCGAATCGCCTGCTCGCGTGACGAGTGCACTTCTGCAATAGCACTTTGTTGCAACCAGGGTCGGCGTTACCATTAAAGCGTTCTAGGCAGTCACCTAGGGCGTAAACCATGAGAAGGTGCAAAAATCCAGCCGGTCTTATTGAACGGTGTAGCAGATACAATAATAATAACATTTCGTTTAACGCAATGAATAAAAATATACATACTACCAAGCTTCAACACTCGATTTGAAGGAACTAGTAGAACATTTTGCGAGGAGAACTAACTTTTTTTGTGCAATTGATAATAAATATGTGGATTCAAATTATTGCTTTCCTTTTTTATAATTTCAATTTAAAAGAAAACGTAATTAATTTGTAAAATAGTGGGCGCGGTAATTAGCTTAGCCTAGAGCGCAAAATAACCTGGCACCGACACTGGTTTCAATTGTCCCTTGTCTCTCCTCTCTCTCTTTCTCTCTATCGTTCCGCCTCCTTCCTAACTTTGCAACATTCAGCCCCCAAGGACAACCCGCGAGAATCGTTTTTACGTGGCCGTTCGAAGGATTTACTGATCTACTCTTCCAGATCCTGCACATCGCGGTCAGACAAGAGATTAAGCCAGAAGATACGTCTGTGCAGGGGCGGGCGTACAATGTAGATAGCGGATCGTCCGCGAAACGAGTTTATTAATCTACGTCCATTCAAGCGGAGAATTACGAACGAGTCGATCGTAAAGCGTTTCTACTTCGCGATAAAGTTTCCCGCGGGGGGAGGCTGTCGCGAAACAGCAAGTAGCGATTCTCCAGGAGCCGTAGTACGTACCGTCGAGAAACTAATTTTCAACGTTTTGAATAACGGCAAATTTTGATTAATGGAAGCTCTGCATCACACGGGATCAGCGTAATCTCTCATCCTTACGCCCGACGTTTCGAAGTCTCCTATGGAATTTTAATACCGTCCGTTCGTCTCTAGCCGTCGTGCAACCTTGCATTACTGATAATCGAATCCCTCGACGTTATTAAGAAGCCGATAACTCGATGCCGGTAATGACCCAATCGCTCGACGTTACCAGTGACCCGATAACTCGGTTTTCTTAACAACCTAACCGCCCAATGGTTTTACCCTCGTTAATGGCCTCAACCTTTCGAACCTAAGACGCGCACGTTCGAATTATTCCGTCGCGGTTCTCGCCAGAGATTCTTGCTACGCTAGGTATATTGCTATTAGTATTCGAATCGTATTCCGTGTCTACCGTGTCTATATCGGTAGCGTCGATTTCAAAGTTCAAGAGCCCGTTCTAGAATATTAACGACCGAGAACACGCGGACAGCGAAAGCCTAGTGAAATCGATTCGCTATTATGAATTTCGCGAACGAAATAAATTAGTTACCAAGCAAAATTCGTCTCGGTTCAAGAGAAACGAGATCAATTTAGAATTCAAGGAGAAATTTCTAAGACGAAGTGCGAGCACTGACATTACTCGTTCTCGATTACCATCCACTCTTTGTCTTTGTCCAACACGCGGACCTCGATGATCATTTTCATTCATGGAAGCATAGGCAAAAGTACATATTCCCAATCAGTGAAGTCGGTCATTTCATACACAACGACTTAATACACTCGGTGTAATCGAGTTAACGAGCTCGATACTTTGCGACGTGTTATTTCGTCCGGAATGCTCGATGTATACGCGAAACGAAACAAACTGTTAGTACATTGGACCGTTTATTTACACCACACGCCGTGTAATCATTTTACCACCTGGCAAAAACTGCAGGCTATTTACCCGCGAACGAAGACGATGCTGTATCTTGCACGGGTATAAATACAGTTATACGCATTAGTGGCATAAATTAAACGACACCCTGGTCTTGCGGACAATTTCGAATCCTTTTTGCGCGGAGGCAGCTCAGCACGTTTATCAGCAAGTACAGTAAATCCTCGATGAGTGTTCCAAGGTTCCTCGGCACTGAATATTAAATATTTTATAAACTAATGGACATGTACGGTTGAAACAAATATCATCTGGAAGAATTTATCGCTGTGCTAAACCTCCTTAAAAAGTCAGCGTTATACCTAGGGACCTCTCCTTGTCAGCGCCGAGGAGTCATCGAACACTCATCGAGAATTTACTGTATTCTGGAAAACAAGGACCCATCGGGCAGAAGGTTACACGCGTTTATCGCGGGCAGAGCGTGCTCTATGCCGAGGATTGGATTCGCTCGAGATGCTGGCCTCGCTATAATCGAAACCCACGCGATACGCGAACTGACGTCACCTTCCCGTTATTCCCCACCTGTCCGACGTCGCCTCGAGGAAATTCGGCCGTTTCGAGATCGCCCTTTATTTGGTCAAAGCCGTGGTCGCGTCCTCGCTGCGCAAACACCGACGACGGAACGCAACGCGTGTCCCTGTGTTACGACGATATTTTACTGGTTCGCCGCGTTTAACGCTGATGTCACAGCGCGTCGTAATTTATGCATCGAGAATATGTAAGTATACACTCCTCCAGGCCCTTGTCGATAGACCAGCTAGAGCTAGGTAGACGCGATAAAATTTACTTCCATCTATTTCAATTGCACCGCGTGACATGCTGCTGCGACTATCTTTTCGTAAACGTCATCGTTTCTGAATTATTACACAGGCTGGGTCATCTGTTTCTCGAGTTGTTTTCTTTTACTTACTACTCCTTACTCGCCTCGTCTTGCCTAACACGATAAACACGGACCAGGAAACACCCAGTGTGTTTTGCACGGATTAGTCATCGGGACTTATGTCACACGAGCTATACACATTTATAACCCGTATTTCAAAAAATCTGCTCAGAATCATTGACAAGCCTTCCTATTTGCAAGGAACATATTAATTTATTGTTCACGATACATGGACGAACGATTTCTTCGGTTAAAAATAAATGCTATGTTGGTCGTTAATCTGATAAAACAACTGTCTTCTTTTCGTTTAATATTCTTCGGCAATGATGGAAAGTCACCAAACGCATCTCCGTGGCCGTTCGTCGCGACAAAGAACACGGTGAAAGTTTTTCTGCGGAGATCGAAGCGCGACCAAGACCTCGATCTCGATCTCCAGGGGGACCGGAGAAAGAGAAACTGAAACTTTCGATTTCTTTTTTTTTTTTTAGAGACGCCCCAGCCAGTTCGCTATCTCGTAGTTCGAAACTTCACATTTCAATTATAATTCAAATTCACATCCATTCGAAATCTGCTGAAGACTGCTGGATAGGTAGCGTCGTTGAACCAACAATTTGTGGAAACAACATTGCGTTAAAATACTAGACCGAACTGAAAATTTGCACGCTTTAAAAATTTTACATCCTGGTCGTTAAGAACATGTGCTTTTAATTACCACGATGAAATTGAATGTTTTTCTTTTATAAATCAGCTAACTCATTTTCGTTGCGTTATAGTTACAAAGTTGTACGAAGTTAAAATAAACAACGACAGCGTATACAAACTTCAAGATCAGCTTAACACAATGCAACGTACGGTATCGCGGTGTAAAAAGTAACAAACGGAATTAGCGCGAAATTGGGAGAGCGAGGCGTATGTGTACATATTTTCATCACAGTGGGTGGCCCGACGAGAAATTCTTGAATACGAGGTATTTCACTTGTTTACCTGTACACACGTCGGTAAAAAAAGAAAGAAAAACACAAACTGGGGAAAACGAGCCCTGTCGCGGGGCGTCCGACAGGAAAAGGAAACAATAGCGGCCCCCACTCGACCGGCAAATGTAACAAACCGTGTGTAATACAGACGTAAACCGTGAATAATCGCGCGGAATGGCTAACGACACTTCTGTACACGTTACAGCATGTGCGCAAACAGAAAAATGTGGACGTGTAAGGTTGCAGCAAAAAATACACCGTGCGCCGTTTCTGGAAAATTTATCTATGCGTGGTGACACACTTTCGTAGAAGCATCGCCAGCAGATAAAATAGAATTTAACGAATAGAATCTTCCTTTCGGGAAAAAGTCGTACGGGCGCGAACATTTAGACGATGTCGACTGAAAAAAAGTAGAATTTAACGAACGCGCGATTTCGTCGCAGGATAACGACGCGTATGAATTTTCGACCGAGTTCGCGTATTCGCGTATAACGCATGCTTAACGCTAGAACTACAAAATTATTAAAATGTCATAGACTGTGTGGCATAACTGCAAAACCACCCTAAAATTTTCAATTCTTGAATCAAGTATGCCATGTCAGAAATCATGTTAAGAAAGAATGTTTCTCCAGAAAATGATTATATTCCCTAGAAAGAAGTGGTTGGTTTTTATTTTTATCGCAATACATAAGGATTGAAAAATTTAGGGTGGTTCTGTAGTTACGCCACGCAGTGTAGCAGTGTAATTTCTGAGATTCTTCGTAACTTTTATCGCAATAAACAAATGAAAAAATTTCTTAATTTAAATAGGAACATCTTCGTCTTTCAATTTTGACACCCGCGTTGAAAACTACGTGTAAATTAAAGAACGTAAGAGACTCACCTGGCTCGAAGACATTGTCATGGTTCCGTTTGTAAATGGTCGGTTTTGCGTGCGCGATCGCGATCGTCGCGAGAAACAAGACGAGCAGGATTCTCGAAAATCGTGACATCGTTCTGGAAGAACGGTTGAATCTTTTTTGTCGTTGCGGCAACAGTCGATCGATCGGAACAACGTCGCGACGTTGCTTGTCTTGGCGATGTTTGGACCGGCACTACGCGGAGCAAAGACTAAAGAGGTGAAAACACTTGCCACGAGTGGGGAAAGCCGCGGATAAACAACAGAATTGCCGCTCTCCGCCGCTTCGAATACACACACCTTCGGATTTCCAGTGCGGCTTGGTCAATGAATCGAATAACAGGAAAGACCAGAATTTTCCCTACCTTTTCCCTCGTTTATTCACGACATACTTTCCTTCGTCAATTTTTAATGAAGATAGAAAAAACATTCCTATTTACGGTTTCCAAGGGATATTCAGAAGACAGAAAAGAACGATCGGCGATCTAATAATCGGTACACCTGTGTCATTATCTAATGACTTAGGTAAGCTTGGTCAGGTATCGAAAGAAACCCGGTTGTAATATTAAAAATTATTCGACAAAGAGCACACGACATCGGGAATTGAAATATAAAGGCAGGACGGTGATATAAGATATCTATTTCTGGTCCACGTAGGTTCGTGTGGACTTGGACGGTGTAATAATCTTGGTCAGACATGGAAGGGACAAGGCGTGTTGCGGTCGTCGAGTACTTACTCTATAAAATAATCCGTAATCGACGACGGGGCGATTTCTTCTCGAGGCATCTTGTTTTTTGGCAGTAAAGGGACACGTAAGGTGAATCACGCGAACGGACACACGAAGGAAGGCACGCCCACGACACAACGACTAGGCGGAGAAGAGACAGGTAGCCTGGTTGCGAGGAACGAAGGCGTGCTTGCTGGAGGGATCGCGAAGGAGCGTCAAGAATTTATATTAATCATTCCCTGCGTTCGTCATCTCGCGACCCGCCGTACGGATTCTTGGCTAACGACCACGAAACACAAGCAAAACGCGTGCTCGTAGGTTCCGCCGGTATCGTTCGCGCGGAAAAATCTCCGTAGAGCCGAGGCTGCTGTTTCACGCCTTGACTTCACTGCCACCGCTGCCGCCAAGTTCTGTCTTCTTCCTTTTCTCTTGCCTTTGCTCGTAATCGTGCCTGACTCGGTCTCGTTTGCGCAACGTCCTGTTTCACCGCGTGGAAAATTCACTGGAACGCTCCTAATTGCTTTCTCGCGGGTGTTTTGTAAACTTGGGATCAACCCTGGCCGCGTATCTAACGCGATTGCATCGAGTGCGGTCGTGTTGGTAATTGGCTCGTAATCGTGATCGTAATCTCCAAGAGACGACTACAACATGCTCGTCCACGTAAATATTCAGATTGTTCCGAGTACACGTATGTCCGGTGGTCGAGAATCTCTCGTGACGATTAGTAATTAGCCTCGTAAGGCACGAATTTGAAGAGACATGACATACGAGTTACGATGAAAATGTCCCGAAATGACACCGCGAAAGACATCGGTGGAACCTGTTTCCGCGCGGAAAACCACGAAAAAGAAAGCAAAGACGAGGGAAGAGATAGGAACTCGACGATATAGCGTTAATTACGGTTGGTCCGGTAGTCGGCGGGCGTGACAGGAACGACCTGTCGGCCTAACAATGAAAACTAGGTTAAAAAGTGAAAGGATCCCGAGATTGGAGGAGGAACGACCGTGGCTTCTATTCGGCTCTCTATTCGCTATTCACGCGACGACAGCGTCGCGGAACCTCGGGCCATACGTCGCGGCTCCCCTTTTCTCTATTTTTTGCCACTTCGTTTTTCCTCATTCTTTCCGCGATTCTGTCTTCTCCGATGTCTTCGCGATCCGCAGACATTTCTGGTGGTCTCCGACCCGGTGGAACGCCAGCGGCGTTACGATTCTATCACGAACGATTCCGTTGTTCTTTTTTCACTGGCGAGTCGAAGAGATCGATCTTTTGTAGAATTTCTTTATCTCCTGATTTACGCTACTCGAAGAAATTTCCGACGATCCGGATGCAAAACGAACGTTGGGAATTACAGAATACCGCCTCGTAGCATTTTTCACCGACTGGCAACCCTCTCACCACTTCCATTTTGCTGTTAATTACCCGACGGCCTTTCAATCCCCCGTTTCCCCATTTTCCAACGCAACGACGCGTATCGACGAGAGCCGTCGCGACTCTTATTTCGAGGTTTCTGACGCGTCCTACGCGCCGCCTCGTTTCCCGAGCCAGAGATCTTGATCCGAACGGTTAACTTCGTGCGTCATGGGAAAAGGAAGGAGCGTTACTTATTCCGGCGTATTAGGTTACTTAATAGAGTCTACTTATATTTTCATAAGAAAAACTAGCGAATACTTTCATAAAAATAGAGGTATTTTTTGTAGATAATGGCTCAACAGCGACGTTGTAAAAAAATACGCGTGCACTCAGCGTTGCGGAGTGAAAAAGTAAGTGCTAATAAACGGGAAGTTAGAAGTAAATTATAAAGCTGGAACAAGGTAAAGTGACTCTTAACAACCATGTACCACATACTTTGTGTTGATATGTGCATGTTTTAATAGTAAAATATAGCAATCTTTTTTGCGTAGGTTTCATAAAATGAAATTTTCTTAATAACAAGAGGGAAAAAGATTTCTTCGTACGATACTGAATCGCTCCGGTAAATTCGAACAGCGGCGTTCACTAATAGGCAGCTGATCGTGACGCGAATCTCCCTCGGAATGGTCGCAGACGTTCAGATTTGCCTATGTAGACCCGCGGGGAGAGTCCGCAAACATGCATCAGCGGTATTTTTCTCGGCGCGTTCCTCGCGCATGGCGCATTATTTGCCACGGTAGTCCGAGCTACTTCGCGAGTACTTTATTCGAAAGTCAAAGGAAAATTGCACGGAACAATGCTCGCGCGGAACAATGCCGTCAACCAGCGATGAATATTCCCGTATTCTCCTACGCCGCGAACTTCCAAGCAACTTAGGCGTGCAAACGTTCAAATTGCCTGGCACATTATTTGCATACTGGCGCTTCGAAAATTTCAAAAACTCTCGCACGATTCGAAAGTTATGAAATATTCGAGTTCCGTAAGACTTCTCCACCGAACTGTTATCGATGATCGATCTCCGGAAACTTCTTTGTCGCGTCAACAGGACGGGGATCGGAATGTAATTCGAAAGGTAAATCTATCCTTTTCCTTGCAATCGGAAGAACGAGTCGATGCTTTTTCTTTGTTTCTTTTTTCAAATTTAAACGTTTTTCATTCATCGACATTATGGCTCTGGAAGCAAGGCAATGTCGACGAGACCGTAACCAATTTATGTATATCAACGCGGACGCGTTTGTTGTTCTTGTTTCCGAAAATTCCGAAAGTTTCCGACAATTTTCGTGACACGGACGAACCGACCTTACGGGCCGTCGCGTCGTGTTGGTCCCATTAAGACTAAACGCGAGCTGAAATTACAACGACAATGCCTGGGATAGGTCCGTAGCGAAGGCATGCACGATGACACATCCGGGTCTTGCCACGTATAATCCAGCCGTTTCCTCGTACCACCCTGTCTGTGTTCTTGTATCGGTCGAGATACGCGGCTCGAAATTATTTCGTCCATCCCCCCGCCCCCGCCGCACCCCTCGTAACGGTGTCAGCAACGGATCAAAAGAGTGTACGTGACAGGAACGTCCGGAACGACCAGACAAATGGTTTGTGAAACCGTGACGTCATCCGCTCGTCCGAAGGGAGGGATTCGTTCGAAATAGAAAAATAATACATTCACAGAATTTTCATTGCTAAAGGAAACGATATAACTTCGCAAACGATTCGTCTAAGAAGATGTGTTGCAACTTGCAACCCATACATTCGAATGATAACACTTTTGTTATTTGATCTTTTGTTATTGATCTCATTCACTGTTTAAAAGTTAGGGTGGCGGTCTTAGATGCTGTTGCTTTTCATTATGTATTATTCGAATAAACTTGTGCTCAACTCTGGCCCTATGTATCGCGTTAGCTCTTTCAAGACTGCGGTGGAAGAAGCAATTTTAACGCAACAATGATTGCTGAAAATTATTATTATCGTTAGTGGGTTCTCATTGCAAATAATGAACACATACGACAAATAACTAGCAAGAATAAGCATTATAGTTGGAAACATCTAATGGGCGAGGTTCAGTGTTACTCCTGTCTCGAACGATATGATTCTATTACGCGTTTAAGGGCACTTTAATTTCGTAGGAAACTTTGAGTACGAATCGAAAGTTGTTGGTTAAAGTATACTTCCACACAATGGGAAGAATACAAGCAGGTTTGGAGGCACTGTCGTAGACAGTTTCTCGGGAAACGGGACAGGTTGCAAATTACTCTTTTCCTGTAGCGGACGAAAGGATACGAGCTCGTTTCTATTACAGCGAATATATCACTTAAAAACAGGGCGCACCGTCATGTTTGAAATAATATTAAGCGAGTTCGATGCGACGAAAACCCAGACGAAAGTATTTTGCTTTCTCGACGGTCCCCCTAATGAAACCCGCAGCACGGTAGGAATAAGTGGAATCGATCGGAGTAAACGGGACGAGTGATTCATTAAGTACATCAACGTACAAATGATGCGCGGTGCCCGTGGATGCACACGCGAAAATCATTCCGCCGAGGGTTCCCTTTGTGTTCGAACGGGAAGAAATGCGTTCAGCCTGAATTCTATTTACAAACGGGGTATACGGAAACAACCGTGCGCTTCTGAAAGAGCCAACTTTATCGCCACGATCATAATTCGCCCCGTGGAAACTTTCAATTACACTCTGTCTTTGAAAATCTTCGTGGTGCGACGTGATTTTTCTTTAAATTAAGCATCGTGTTGTTATTAAATTATTAAGCTTTAGTAAATTCTCTTTTCCTGGAACAGAATATGTATCACGCAATATTCGGATTAACTAGTGAATGCTTCGAGTATCTTCCAGACTGCGGTGAATGAGACTTCCGTGAAAATTGGTTTCCACGAGCAAATTATATATGTATATTCGTGCATACCCGTTATTTTCATCTTCGTATTTGCGGTTGGTCTCCTCGGAGCAACGATCCGAATTTACAACTCGCCCGCGACTACGTACCGAATTTCTAGGGAACCTTTATTAACCTCTTGACCCCTTATCAACGCCACCGTGGCTCG